AATTGCAAATTTTAAGTTTTAAAATTGTGTTCCTTATTACATACTTAGAATGTTGTTTTTATAAATCTGTTTTTCAATTAGCTAAAAAAATTAATTTGCATTACTAGTATCTATAATTTTTATAAAATACCGTAGGACATTTTAAATTAGAATGTCTTAATGATGAGCGAACAATTTTTTTTCACTATTAAAATATAATTAAACTCTGGACTATGAGTCATTAATTTATTGCTATGCTCATTAGAAGGGGACCTCGGAGTATCTAAAATTTACATTTTGAAATTAGGAAGTAACATTTTTGTAGCTATCAAAATTGTCCTATATATGTAAATATTTACATCATTTAAACAAATATTAGCAACTTGAAAAAATTCTATCCTATGTCAACCAGGCATTATCAAGTCAAAATGAACTGTTTTTTGGTTTCTCGCGGCTTCATACGGCATTTAACTTTAACATTACTATTTTAAACTGTCGATATAAATACAAATTTACGATAACTGTAGAAAAATTAACTCATTATCTACGAACGTATAAAAAATAACAGTAAGTATTCTTCAATGTTTTCGAACACAAACCATACTGTATGACGTATAATTAATATAAATAATATCATCTTTAAGTTTCTTTATTTTGTCATATAATTTGATGCTATTTTTAACACAATACATCCAGGCCCTTAGTTAAGTCGATAAAACTGTTATTTTTATCAATTTATATTTGAATGGTTCAATATACATAAAGGTAAAAATTAAGATTTGCACGCAAGTTATATTTAGGTCTATTAAAAGAAATACGTTCTAAAATAAGGAAAGGGAAACAATTTATTTTGCTACTAATTAATTTGGAAAGAGATGTATCAGTATTTTTACGACGAGTGGATAATAGATTAATATTAAACTTGCTCTTAACCGAAAAACTTAACGGAAAAAACGTGAAGTTACAAATTTTGAAAACTTGGTTCCAAAATATTGGTGAAGGTTTGAAGTTGATAGAATAATGTAGGGGGCAACTTCACAGACGTCATTCCAGTGACAGGTCGGACAATATTCGCAATTAATCTTCGACCGGAATATCAATCCACGATGAAATGTAAAGGTACGCCAGTATGACCAACTTGTTGTCTGACGTTGTGTAAACTTCAACGATCACGTTTGTTTCGCGTCGTTTGCGTACGAAAAAAAAACAGTCGAATGCAGTTTTAAAAGGTTTCAAGTGAACATGAATATAATGTCAATGGTATTTCAACATTTTGGTCTACGTTTACGGACACCGATCGAATATTCTTATAACACACACATGTTCCGCTTGATGTAGAATTCGAAGCACGCGCAACGTCAAATATCACTATAACTTTACGATTTCCATATTTATTGTCATTCCGTTTGCAGCGTACACTCTTGAAAAACAGAATTTTTACGGTAGTAGCAGTGTTTCAAAAACTAAACGCTTTTCTCTTTTTCGTTTTCTGTTACGTCTCACTTTTTAACGCGATACAACTCGTTTTAACGCGCACGAAAACGAGATGGCAGTATAATGTATTCAAGTATCCCGCTGCATTACGATATCAAACGGTATCGCACCGAAACGCAACGTGTCGACACGTGTGATGCGTGTGATTTTTGTGCATCCGACGTTCACTTTAATCGCGTGAGACGGACGTTTTAATTATCTTTTCTCGGTTATTGTACGAGAGGCGAGAGACGTGTGCCGATGGGATATGTTGTCCTGATGTGACCGCAGGCGGTGCAACACGAAAACTTCCGTCGGTGTACGTCTGGCGTTTTTCTAACGATATAACACGCGACGAGACGCGGACTTCACGGTCCTTTCCCGCGGGACCGGCGGCACGTTGTAATATTTGAACGCGAATGGCACTTAAACAAGACGCGTGACGGCTAGGGACTAACGTCTCGCGCCGTGAGACGACGCTTGAAATCCGCCACCGGGACATGGAGAAGTTCGGCGGCACGCGCTGGCTTCACCGTTCGGCTCGTACATTGGGCCATTGACCTACACGTACGCAAATTATTCTTCTACGATTTCCTATCCGTTCCGGATGTTGGAAATTATACCGGCAATGCTGTTCCTGTCAAGTGATGTCTGAAATTATCCAACCGATGTTTTACTGTGCCGATGGCGGTGATTTTGTAATTAAACATTCGTATCACAAATGCACGTAACACGGGACGCGTGTACGGGCGCCCAGCACGCAATGACGCGTAGCAACGTAATGGCGCGTGGGCACGTACCGGGCGTCGTCGGAAGCGTCATTTTCATGAATCGTAAGCCGGACGAATGATTAAGATTGTCGTGGTGACCGACGGTTGGTCTCGGGCAGTAAGGTAACCACGAGTGAATCGGCCGATCGAGTCTAACCGTGCGACCACGTCGCCCCCGGGTCCGCGGAGACCGCGCGGCGAGTGAGACGTTGATTGCGTCGTTGAACATTATAATTTTATATCATGATGCGACAAACACATAAAAATTACAAACTCGACGGTCATGTAGGCTTCCGTGAAGCCCCGGAGGTTTGCGAATATCACGTCGTCGTTAAAAAACACGACAGTCGTTTTGTTTTTATTCGTCCGACGTCAAAGGGGAATGCGCTTGCTGACACACGAGCGCGCACACAAATATTCATATTTTAAAAACCGTAAATCGTACACATGACGTTATAAAAACGGCCCAAAATCGGTCCGAGTACAGTGCAATCGCATCGATTCGGTGAAACGCTTGTGAAAAGTCTCCCCGCTTAACCCCGTGTACAGACGAAATCGATACGGGACGATGCGAATTTGCGATGGACTTGTTCCCGTAGCCGGAGGCCAAGTGATTTATGTGCTCCGGCCAATCTTTCTGTCGAACGATTTGACCTGAGATAAATGAATTATCACCCGTTATTATAACGGATCGGAAGACATATATTGTACTTGAACGGTCCCTGTATACAGAATACAGCACTCGTGGGATCAAGAAAATAACTACTTCGCGACATGTTCACGGTGTGCTCGAGTATTTTGTGATGATTCTCCACACACTGACACCGTATTTATATCGCGGTTCCGATACGTTCAGCGTTTGCCGCTCGAAAGTCGAACACGGTGTAGGTGCCGGAAATTGTTTAATGCTCGCAATCAACGACACATCGGCCCACGATAAGTGGGTAAATAAATGAATTAAAATAATACGATTAGCTTGTGAACGTGCGATTCGAAAAATATCCACATCGGCTGCAGGCGCGTATCCATTAAAGTTTGTGAATCATAGAGCGCAGCAATCATGGTAGCAATCGAAAAATCACGCGAGACTTAAAAGTCTATCAAATAATTCGAATATAACGGCACTAAAACAATACGCTGTGTCAGAACAAGTACAAATGATGAGTATTTAATAAGATATAAATAATTCAACGGAGTGACTTTCGTTTCGCCTGTGACTAATCAAATTGTTTTCCGTTATTCTTTTTACATGCAACACTAATGAAAGTAAAGAATAAATTGTATTCTAAATACGTACGACGAAAGTAACAAGACAGTATTTATAAGCTAATAAAAACAAATTATCAAGCACGTAGTGTTCTATTGTCATGACACTTAATGCGCACCTCAGTATAAACTTGATCTCTGACAAACAAAATAATTCACTATGGCTTTTCATACAGGTATTGTTGATAAAACAAGGGAACAAAGCGGTCCAGACAACGAAAATCGAATTAAAAAAAAAAAAAAAAAAAAATTGTATATATATAATACAACACATACATACATTTTAACGTCTATAAATTAATTATATTACCTATAAATCACATACCTATTGTTTGTAGTGGAAGTAACCCTATTATGTCCCATAAAATACATTTTTATCACAACACATTTCCATTTTATCGTGCCATTGTTTTCGATTTCTAAATATTTTCTAAGATATTAAACAACTTAAGTTTTACTTTTCATTGAACATATTTTTCGAAATTATCTTAAATTTTATGTAGGATACCAATGTTTATACAGGTATTATAAGATTATTCTTATTAAAGACATATCACGTTAGTTTGTAATACAATGATAAAATCTTGGATTTGAACGTAAAATGTTAAATATTGTACTACATTTACATTATAATTGAAAATCGTGCTCAAAATTAAATTATAATATTTACATGATATTAATTAATTATAAGAGCCTTAATATATTTAATTATTTCTTAAACGACTTAAAAGTAGTATTATATTATATTGATATTATGGATAATTTTATAGTCCATTAGAAAATGTAAACACGACTGACTCCAGAAATAATTGACTAATAGAATAATAAATCATACGATATAGTTAAACTTCTTAATTACAAAACAGTAGAGTATATATATCGAGCATCCGCTTGAAATTTATCGAGTGTCGTAAAAAGAAACTATTGGAATTAAAAATAAATTAATAGTTGGAATGTGAAAACTGCGAACAAAAAATAAATAGTAAGACAAATCGCACATATATAAACAATAATATCACATCAAGATCTATTTGTACTGTGTTATTCTGAAGCCACATGCAGACTGCATTTTATAAGCCTATAATAATGCATTGCAGTTCTCAGCTATTAGCAGATTATGCGATTATTATATATATATATATATATATATATAATTCACCGCAACATTTTGCTATATGAAATAGTGGAATTCGAATGTATCACAATCCAGTTCTGTGAAAATGATTACTTGACGTTAAACACATACGTCGGTCGATATCTCATTCGTTTTTGGATTTATATATTATGTCGAAAGAAAATAAATAAAACATCCGAGTAATCGTTACATTCTGTTAACGTGTACGCGGCTGTGTTGAAAATATATTATCTCGTGCCAAGCGCGTACAGCTACGTATAGTATGGGCTTAATGATTATTATTAACATTTAACCGAGTTCCAATGTTATGGAAATCATTCCCAGTGGATGTAATATTGTTTATGCTGAAAATAGCAGTTTGACGCAAAACGATTTACCTGTTTGACACCACCCAACTGAACCAAGGGATTGGGGAACAGAAATGGCGGTTTCTCCATGTACTCGTTGACCTTGACCGAGAAATTCTTGAATCCTCTTGGTGGCGTTGGCACCACGCTAAAAAACGATCGAAACGCTTTTTCCAAAATCGGATCTTGTTTGTTCGACAACATGCCGGTCAAATATTTCCTGGGGTTTTCTGCATCGTATTGTTCCACGTCCACGCCCACCACAAAATATTCACCTAGTTAAAAAAAGGCAAAAAAGGAAAATTTAATCAATGCATACACGTATAAATCTCCACTGGCCGATTTGACCGATTAAAGTTTGATAGTTCTATAAACGTAAACGAATAAATAAAAAATCGTTTTATTTGGTGCAAGCATTAGATAGAATGTCGTATACAAAAAAAATAACATTCTACACAAGACTGACATCATCTATTTAAATGTATTAATTTTTTTAACATAACAAAACTATTGGTAGTAAATGTGTGATAAAAAGTATTTTTTTCACAGATGTCGATATTTCCACCTAGATATTCAATTGTATTTAATATTAAAAAAGAATAAATCGTAAGATAATAATTTATCAGGTCAGTAAAAGAAAAAGTATTATGCCAATATGTGTGTACATGATATGATATATACGAATATAGTTTAATTTGAGACAGGCTATACATAAATATTTATACGTAGATAGTTTGTTGCATTATATTATTATATTAGCTCATACAATAATGTTTTCAAACACGTGAATAAATAACTGATTGGATTCAAGGCTGGGCACGTTGGTTATTGTGCGTTTTTCTGTATGAATTATTATCATATTTTTTTATATTAATTTAAATTTATATTAAGTGTACATTTCGAATCGAAATTCAAAATTGTTTCAGCGATAGTTGAATGATTTTTGAAAGGACATTCTTCGCGTGGTACACTGCGCACAAGCTATTATTTTAACTTCGACTCGGTGTGGGTTACACAATCAATTTTTAAACGATTGTTTTCCAACTCTAAATTTCATTCGAGGTAAAGTGGTTTGACTCGTTTTTTTTTTTTTTTTTTTTTTTTTTATTAACAAAAATTGGAATTATTAATTGAAAATACTTATAAAATGCCAACTTAAAATATCTAAATAAAAAGTACATAAATAACAATAATTATATTCCACTTATTTTAATACTGTTATATTTTAATCATGTAAAATATTACGAAAACGTTTTTCACCACAAATTTGTATTTAAAAATAAATTTTTTACAAACAATTTTTTAATGGGTGTAAAGTAGCTACATAATAATTAATTAGAAATAATATTATTAATAAAACAAATACTATATAACAAAAAAGTATTACGCTTAAAAATTGTATGTACCAAATATTCAAATAATAATATTAAATAAAATCTTTTCAAAAAATTTTAACGGTATATAATAATCTTCGTATTTATTTAAAAGTGAATTATACCTAACTATAACAAAAAAAAAAATATGTACGATTTATTTATTTTTCGAAATCAATAAATCTACAATTTTGATAGAAAAGGTTAATATTACCTTTTCATTGGGTACAAATATACGTACAATATTTTATAAAATAACAAATATAATTATCTTTCTTAGTACTCTTAGACTCAACCATTTTGATTATCCATATGATTAAAAAAACTCCTTTAAAAAGAAACATCTATCCAAACCATATAAACTAGAAGATAATAGTTAACTCTGTTTTCATGTACCGTGATTAAAATATTAGGAATTTAATCTTATTTTTAATTTCAAAATCATTTCAAATATTATATTATTATGTTACTAAATTATTAAGTGGAATAATAAATTATTTCAATATGGTTAATTATGAAACTAAGAAAAACAATATCAAAATCATCACACAGAAACGCTAAAATTGGTTTAATTTTATTATTTTTGAGTGAAAATACATGATAAAAAAAATAAGTACTCAACAATAGAAACGGAATTATGTAGGTCAACATGAAATCCTGATTAAATTTTCCGTGTATAATACACACTGTATACACATATATGGAAAATTAACGATGAAACTGTGTTCGTAAACTCGAGTATTGTTCAATTTAAGTTATTGCTGCAATGACAATTATTTAAAACACTCTTTACGTTGTATTGTCATGTTTACGATTGTCGATATGAAACCTAAACATAAATTACAACTTTTTCAGTTTAGAAAAGGAAATTAAGCAAAATATCCGGTAACGATCAATTTCGGGAAATATTTCTGTTGATCATAAAATATGTCAATTTAATGAAGAGCATTTTTAATGTAACCCGACGGTCAAAAAAGTTGTTTGGAAATCAATAGTTTGTTTATTTTCGGTGTACACTGATATCTTATACGAAACCCGAGAATTGGTCTGTCGCTAGCCAAATGGGGAAAAATCTACTTGGCGGAAAAAAGCAATTTTGATGTATTTGTACTTTACACGCCAATGAGTATTATCAGAATCTTGGATAAGTACTCCCCGTGCCGGACGTTTTAAACAAAGTTCGTCGGGAATCGCAATAAAACTCATTTCATCAGTCAGTCATTTGGAAAGTGATTGAAAGGAAAGGAGAAAAAAACACTGATCGGAAATTAAAAATTACTAAGCGACAAAATACAAACACAATATTCTTAAATTGGAAGAGATAATAAAATAAATAGATAAAACGCACAATACTATATATTATAATAATAAAACTGTCTAGTCTTTAAGGTAATCAAATTTTACTTACCATTTTTGAACAAATCCATTTCGTCCATGGCTATAACGAGACCGGTGTGGTCGTAATAATTTCCTAAAACAACGTATACTGCAAAAAAAAAACACATATTAAAGTAATTTGCTAGTGAACAACAAAATTATCACCATCTCTAATTCTATAAGGCGAAAATAGTGACTTTGGGATTTTCATTAAATATATTTGGCTAGTCTTAATAACGTTAAGTGAAACGGAAGAAATGTTTAAGGTTCTTCCGAAATAAGTTGAGTTTTTTTCGGACTGATATTTTTTTTATTATTACTATTGCTCATTTTGTTCATCTACAAATTGAAGTTTGGCCCATTATTTTTTCAAACAAAAACAGCATACTTAATAAATATATTTAACTATAAACCGATAACAAAGTCATTGTTTTTACGCATTATTATATGTATTCAAATAATTATTAACATTCAAAATATTCACGACAAACTTTTACATAGCTACTAAAATCCGTAATCAGAGAACGTGTTTAAAAATTCAATGAAATCAACAATAATACTGACAATAATCCGCTGCATTTGTTGTTAATCTAATTCTTTACAAAAGTTATTTTTCACGAAGAAAAACACATGCTGTTAAGGTTACACTTTCGATGAAAAAACATGATTAACATAGATAATAAAGATAAGATAATATCATTATTATCTATGATGGTTAATACCGAATTCTTCGTTCTAACAGTTTCTGCGAATTCTTACAACGTCATGGAAACAAAAATTTTCTCAACGTTTAATTACGATCCGGTTCCGTGTCGTATTGAACCAATCGACTTGCAACCGAGAAATCATTCCAATCCAACCTTCTCCTAGTTATTGACAAAACACGGCGATTAACAAAAATATATGCGAGTATGCGCACAGCAATATTTTTTCATCAAAAACAACCTACAGTTAAGGAAACCTATACATTACCGATTATTATTTTTGGACAATAGAGGTTAGTACATATGATTGTAACGTTTATTAATACAATGATGCGTGTTCCTCGTTAGAACGCGTATGGGGGTTGTGTACGAGTATATGAATACCATTTTAATCCGATGTACAAAAAAAAAATCGTATAAAAATACGCAAAATCTCGAATAAATCCCCTTGTCAAAACCGTCAAACCAATATCGTACACAATACGTACACGTAATAACCAGGGCTCGGAGTAGATATTCGGATTACGATGACAAACGTCGTTGGCGGTGGCGCATCATCTTATGATAATAATATACGTTCGCGTCGTCGAGTGGTTTTTTTTTTCTCTTTATTTTTTTTTTTTTACCACTCTAATGAATTCGGTTTTCGAATACGTCTAGTATCTAACAATCCTGCGATGGCGTGTTTTGATACGATAGTTACGTTTGTCCTGGTCTAACGCCGCATGGCGGTTGCAATGCAGACGAGGCGAAACTAAATCACTACTGTTCGTACGATGATTGTTGTTCGTGCAGCACTTGTACACGCACCGCGGTTTACGAATTATACCATTAATGTAACATGCGAATGTCGATCGAATCGCGTGGTCCGTGTGCTGCAAACACGTACACGGAATAGACGGATATACGAGCGCACACGTCGCCTATGAACGAAAAAAAAAAATACCCGACGTACGGCGCATGTACAGATTTCTACGGTTTTAAACAACCGTAAATCACATATTACAAGGATTCCGTTTTCCTGTTTTCGGGTGTGCATCTTTCAATACGAAGCTCGAGGTTTAAGTGCGTTTATGAGCTTCTTACAGTGCCGCCTTAAGAATCTATTTCGTCTGGACTGACAAACGAGTGACTAAAATATTATAGAACAAAAAAAAATGATTCCTTTTAAAGCAACACTATGTATGTATTACAGTAAATTATATTATGAATTCGTCTTTAGCAAAATTTGTTCCTAGTCGCGTGGTGGTGAAACGACTCTTGAGCTTATCCTGGTGCGATGTGCTGTGTGCCCGCGTTTAACGCGGACTTTATGTCTGGTCGTAAATTTCGGTCTAGTCTTACGCGTTTTAAAATTGAATTTATTATTCGAATATTTACATGAAAAGTGTAAAATTTATCAACAGAATCTGCAGAAGTACATAATACTATATTTTCGTCACTTATAATTTGACATTCCGAATGCAATCGTCGCTTGAATAATAATTCGGGAATATAAAAAACCCTATTATACGTTACGAGTATGCTGAAGTAGGTACAGCATAATAGTTGAAGTGATATAAGACCCGAGAAAATCTACTTAAATAATAACAAAATATCAACAACAATAATAAATAATAATAGTAATAATAATAAATGGATGTTTCATAAACGGTTTTCCATAGCTGCCCATTCGTTTTTGTACTACGTCGAAGACGCACTGTGTGCAAGCACTAAATTTTTATTCTTAAACTAATGTGATAAATATTTTATTGAAAAGAAGTGTTTCTGAAATTAACATTTGTTTTAAAAATAAGTAGAATTTAAATTGTCAACGATTATATTTGCTAAATGCGGAATAATATACGGCTTAGTTTACTGTAAGATTTAATTTAATTAATTTGATAAAAACTGATTTTTTTTCTTATTTACTAATTTTTCCGCACTATTCAAATTTATACTGTAATACTAAAACACTTACTTTAAATAAAAATATAAATTTGTTCACCCACCCAATAAACATAGAAAAAACACGACAGAATTTAAAATAAATAAAAAATGCGAATAATTTCCTATCGTGTATTTTACTTATGAAATAATATTTTATTTTATTGTAGATTGATTTTTCAAATATTATAATTATTAAAACAATTTAAATATGAAGAAAAAAGTAATTATTTAAAAAAAAAAATCAAACATATTTAATAATTGAGAATGTTATTAAAAGCGAAGCCACAATAATGAATATAACATCAATAGTTTGACAGGTGTATGAAATAAAAAAAAATGGTATGATTAAAAGTACCTGGTACGATATGATACACATAAGTTTACTCTTTGGGCATTCAATATCGAGAATTGTATATGCATACGATGTTATCGTCCAGTGCAAGCGATACGCAATGAATAACTTAAGTAAAACACTAAATATTATTTTAATATTTCCAATGGAGACTGAAGGAAACCAAATCTATTGATCCGCCACAAATTATTATTGCAAAAAGACAACTTTTCATTGCAATAAATGAGTATTGTATTATATTCCCACTGGTGCATTGGCACATGCGGTTTAGTGTTTTTATGCGAGTATTATTCTATTCGACTAAGTTTGATCAACATAATACGGTCGTAAATCAACGATCATTACTTCAATGTTCTTTGGGTTATTGTATATTAACTCGTCTCTCGTGTACGTAACAAAAAACGATTTACGAAATTAAAAATGTGCATTGATTTTGCCATTTCAAGCGAGAATCTGTCAGACAACGGAGGGCTAATAAAGTGCTTTGATAGGATATAAAAAAATGAAATAGAAGCGTTAGTGTAAACGAAGGAAGTAGTGGGAGGGGTTAAGATAATTTTCGTTTACTTCCAATATTCACACCATGGGTGTTTCAACGAATACTATTATTTGAAGCCAGCAATCATTATGGGATAAAGATTTAATTTATTTCGTACCATCTCCGTGAAAACTACCAGCTCGTTTCAATTGAATTAATATCGCCAATAACTTCTTTTTACCGAAACTTTTTATAACTCGATACTGCTATGGTTGAATGTGAAATATATTTTTTTCATTAATCAAATACAAAGTCGTTCGAAACAGATTTAAAATATTTTTTAGTAGTCACTAAATTTAAGCAATAGTTGGAAAAAAAAGGTGAAAATAGTATTTATTACACTGGAAATAGCATTTTAAAATAATACACCGAGAACATAGGAATTAAGAAAATAACACAACATAAAAATTGAAATTATTCCCATATAAATTTAAAATTCTTTTAAAACATTAATTGTTCAATAATAATTATATTATAATTATGATTTATTATTAATTTATAATAATGAGATGACATAAATTATATTTTTCCTAAGCCCTCAGAGTCTGCAGTTGACTATATTATTATTATTATTACTAGACAGTCATATAAACTAAGTTCGGAAAATTAAGTTATCGCCCTTTCTCTAGAGACCAACGAAATAAGTTTAATAGTCTTTTATGTCTGGTAAAGACACTTTCATTAATTAAAAAAAAAAGTGTATGTTTGATTTGTTTAATATAAATATAAAATGTATTAAAAATTTTAAAATGTTCTATTATAAAAAACCAAAAGACAATAAATAAACTATAAATAATAAATATTTAAAAAATTACAGTGAAGTACATAAAATAACTATAGATTTGAATACATTATCTGGCAAATGGTATTTTAAAGATCTCTTTATTTTATTATTATTATTTCATCGCAACTCAGGCCATTGGATGTTGGATGATATTTGGTACAATAGTAGTGTTTGTTTGTGATTGTTGTGTGGTGCACGTTTGATGGGGAGTAGCCTTAGAGGTTTTAAATATTTAAAAAGGCATTTAAAAATAAAATTTAAATCATTTTTCATCTAACTACTTATTTTCAATATATTGAGAAGCCTTTTATATTATACTTCAATTCATCATTTATTTTCATAAGTTTTTTAAAACTTTAACAATAATATTTCTTTCACCGAACCGTAAAACATATAAATACTTATTTGTCATAAAAGTGTATGTAAAATATTATACATTTTGTTTATCACACGCGATACCATTATCATAAAACATTATTATTTTACCAATCATAAATTTATATCACATTCGATTTTCTAGACTTTCTTTTTTTTATTGTAAGATGTGTAAGATGTAAGATGTGCAGTTAAAAATTTAATTATATTTTACACAAAGTCTGATTGTTATAATTATTCATCACTGTATATCTACGATTGAATCAAATGGTCTTTCTATAGCACATTCATCGAATCTTAAGAACAACGATATGATTCGCACTAATAACAATATAAAACGATTGGATCCGACGAGCAAATTTTCGTGATCTGAAAATCCATGATATCGATAAAACATTCGATATTAACGAGTAAAACAATGTTTTTA